TTCATCTAAAGTGAGAATAGCAGCACAACTGGAAGAATGTAATCGATGTCACTGAACTGTGCATGTAGAAATTTTTGAAATGGTGTATCTTTGGCTATGTATATTTTCACCAAAAAAAAAGGGGGTCAGGAAGGGAGAGGGTTAACATGTCGGGGGGTTGTTAACCAATGTCATAAAACAATATGTGTACTGACTGTTCAATGAGAAACTATTTATTCTGTAAACCTTCACCTGAAGTACAATAAAAAAAAAAATTCAACATACTCCATATATTCCAGACATTTTTCAGTAATAAGAAGCCTATTCCAAGTGAAAGCAAAGTCACTTTGCCAGTTGGAGGGCTGTGGGGACAAAAAAAAGAAAAAAACAAGAAACGCCCCCAGGGATGTCCCTGGGCATCCGCACAGAGTAAGGGACTAGCTTCCAAGCCATGCGGTACTGCCCAGCTAGAAGGGGATCCCAAGCCGAGAAAAGAAAAAGAGAACAAACAAACAAATCAAAACAAAACAAATCAGAGCAAACAAACAAACAAAAAAGCCACGTGGGTCCCACCAGCGTGGCGGCACAGGCCAGGAAGCAGTTTCACAGTCGAGCAGTGTTTCGCAGCCTTTCAGGAAGAAGCAGAGATGCCGAATGAAGCCAGGTATTTGAGAGAAAGGAGGGGGAGGTGGTGAGAGGTAAGGAAGAAATCTAAAGAAGCGGGAAAAAAGCAACACCAGCAGCCAACAAATGGCACTCAGGGAGCTGGCCAGTGCGGGCAGGTGGAATCCAAGCGGCACTGGGGGGAAGCTCGTGCTTCCCAGCCAGTAGACTGTGGCTGCAGGAAGCAGAGGAGGCTAAGTAGGGGTGAAGAAGGATACAGGGTGGGAAAGCCTATATTGTGGGTTACCGGTTGTTCTGTCTCCTGCTGGAAGCTCTGTGAAGCTGCTTTTTCATACCTCCTGTTCACTGATCTCTGATAGGAGTCCAAGATAACGGATCCGTGCTGTGGTAGCTGATAGGGGACCTCTGCATGTATCTCTCCTTGCGCTCTGTTCTCAGTCAGTTTCTTATTCCATTCAGTGCTTGGCTGAGTTCTTTATCTCATCATTTGATGGTTAGGCTTTCAGGACTGACGTGTGACTCTGTTTGACTTAGTTTTTCTGATCTTTGCTGTGGAGGAAAGGCGTGGTGCTTCTGACTATAGCACCGTGTTCTAAAATTTTAATTTCTGATTATTCATTGCTAGTATATAGAAACACAGTTTTAATATATTGATCGTGTATCTTGAAATGTGGCTGAACTTGCTAGTTCTAGTAGCTTTTTCGGTAGAGTCCATACTATTTTCTATGTAGACAATCATGTATTCTGCAAATAAAGACAGATTCAACTACCGTTTGCTAACCACCATGATAGGCCAGGAGATCTAGCAGTAAACAAGACAGATATGATCTCTGCCCTCAAGGACCTTACCCTCCAGCAGGGAATATTGATATTTAATAAAATACCAGAGAGTGAAAAGTGTTTGAAGCCTATAATAGATGAGATAGAGAGTGACGGGCGAGATACTTCAGGTCTGGTGAAAACACATTGTCATGGAATGAGAGGAAAAGTGGTTTTCAAGGAGGAAGAAATGACTGGCATCATTTCTTTCTGCCCCAGAGAGGTCACATACGATGAAGGCTGAAGACAGTCACTAAGTTCGGCAATGAGGTCACTGAGAACTTTGCTGGGGGAGTTTGAACAAATTGCTGGGGTGGGGGGAAGCCCTATTATGGTGGCTTGGAAAGGGAGGAAAACCTGAGTATAGCCACTCTGTCAAGAAGCTTGGATGCGAAAAGGAGAGACACAGCAGTAGATGGAGGGAGACTTGAGATTAAGGGTGTGTCTTAGGCTGGGTTCTCTAGAGAAGCAAAACCAGTAAATCATATATATATAGATAGATATAGATATATATAAACCAAACTCGTTGCCATCAAATTGATTCCAACTCATAGTGACCCTACAGGGACAGAGTAGAACAGCCCCGTAGGGTTTCCAAGGAGCAGCTGGTGGATTCACACTGCTGACCTTTTTGGTTAGCAGCCTGAGCTCTTAACCACTGTGCCACCAGGGTTCCATACATATATATACTTACAAATACATAATACATACATATATATGTATATATATATACACACACACATACGTATACATATATATATAGAAGGCAGTTCTACTCTGTCCTATGGGGCTGCTATGAGTTGGAATCGACTCAGTGGCAACAGGTTTGGTTTTTTGTTTATATATACATATAGTATGTGCATATATATATATATATATATAGAGAGAGAGAGAGAGAGAGACATCTATCACAAGGAGATGGCTCACACAGCTGTAGAGGTTGGCAAGTTCAAAGTCCATGGGTCAGGCATCAGGCTGGAGGCTTCTCCTGACTCAAGTAGCTGCAGAGGCTGACGAACCCGAGATCAGTAGGTCAGACAGCAGGCTGCTGGCTCATAGGCTGCGGAGGCTGACACATCCCAAATCAGTGGGCAATACAGCAGGCCGCTGGCTCAAGTCCCAACAACTGGAGGTCAGATGATGACGAGCTGGATGTAGGATCTAGAGCAAGCAAAAGCCAGCGAGATTTTCCAGAACATCCATATATATTGGATGCAGGCCACGCCCCCAAAGAAATTCCTCTTACAACTGCTTGGCTGATCACATCAGATCACATCATGGAGGTGATTACATTATATCACAAAATGGAAAGTAACTGCCTGATTACATAACTGCCAAACCACTGAAAATCATGGCCCAGCCAAGTTGACAACCTTAATCTTTACAGGGTGGAAGGAGGTTCCTAGCTGTGTTTCTTCTCGTCCATCTTCGGTTCAACAAACTTCTCCAGACCTGACATCATCCCTCAGCTCCTGACTCATATTCAACTGCTGACTTCACATCTAATAGGTACTCACTGGACATCTTGAACTTAACACCTTGAAATCAGGACTCTTGCTTTCCCCTGTCCATACTTCTCTTCCTTCACTGCCCATCATTCACCCAGAGCTTCATCAAAAGCCAGGAGTCACCCTTGATTGATCTCTTTGATTCATCTTCCAAGTCCAGTCCATCAGCTAGTTCTGTGGACTCCATCTCCATCCACTTCCACCTGGGTCCAAGCCACTATCATCATCTCTCGCTTGGACAGCTGCTAAAACCTCCTGCTTCCAGCTTGGATTGCCACAATCCATGCAACAGCCCATCTCTTTCTCTCTTTTTAAAGTACACCAGATCCTATACTTCTCTGCCTTAAGCCCTCCAATGACATCTCATCATACTGGAATAAAACCCAAGCTTGTTGTCATGGCCTGAAAGGCCCCCCACAGTCTGGCCTCTGCCTACCTTTGCAGCACTCTCCTCTCTTGCTTCACTCCAGCCACCATGACCTTCTTCCTGTCCTGTGGAGACACCAAGCTCACTTGGCTGGAGGATTTTTGTACTAGTGTCCCCTCTACTTGGAACACTTTCCCCAGACCTTCCCATGGCCAACTCCTTTATTATCTTTCAGGTCTCAGCTTAAATGTCACCTCAGACTTTTCCTGATCACCTAACCTGAATGATCTCACCTGTCACTTTCTATCCCATCACCTTCTTTTATTTATTTTTATTTATTTTTTAATGTATCAAGTTCTTATCATTGCCTGATGCTTTTGTGGCCTTTTGCCCATGAGAACTTCGGTTTCATGAGGTCAGGGACTTATCTGATTTATACATCACCACTCCTGAGACCCTAGAACAGTGCCTGGTGAAAAGTACCACTCAGAAAATGAATAAGTGATTTCAACAAAGAGCTCTGAGCACAATTCTGGTTCTAAGACCTGGGGTTGCAAAGACACAGTTGAGAATCCAGTGGTGTTCAAGATCAAGTGGAATGGAGACAAAACCTTTGACTCATCACATTTGCAGTGGTTACCAGGGCCATCCCCACACCTTGCATGCTTCAGAAATTTCCAAAGATAATACATTTTGCAAACCTCATGCCAGCTTTACACTTATGTGCACTTACTGTGGCCCTCCCCAGAAGTTTCTCTTGGGTCACTGGCCCTCAGCTCCTGTTAAGTCAGCTGTTCCCTCGTGGTTGTGCCTGTCAACTGTAGTCAAATTATCGAGCTCTTTCCAAGAAGAAATGGCAAAGATATGTGTGCCTTCCTCCGTCTGTACTATGCCAGGCATTTGCCTATCTTGAGGGTAACGTCAGCACTTCCTTCCCCCAGTGCTCATTTCACCCAACCTTGGGTGGCAGAATTTGAAAGTATTTTCTGGAGAAAAGCTGAGCAATGATTTTCCCATGGGCGGGACATTGGTTGTTCTTCCCACAACTGGCCCTTTATATACCCCCGACGACCAAGGTGGGCATGTTGGCCTTGTTGCCGAAGCTGTTGTTGAAGCGGGCCTTGCTCTTATTGGCCATGGTCTCCCGTACAGGTACCAGTGTGCCCTGGGCTCACTGTTTCTTGGGTCTAGTATTTCTCACCAGACAGAAAGGAAGGCCCTGGAGGGCCTTGGCCTGGTGGTCACCGGCTTCCGTGATGCAGCTAGGGTGGGCTGGGGGTCTGACCCATGTTACTTACTCACAGCATCGTTCTCTTTTTCCAGGACCCAAGAGATTTGCTCTGTTACTGCTCTGTTGTATGGGAAACTTGCTGTTCTCCCATACGTTACGCATCCCTCGGCCAGATGCAAAGGATCAACAAAAAATAATCAAGGAATTACAACAGTTATCTAAGGAACTTTTGGAGCTATATGTAAGTGCCCTAGAGATTTCTCTTGCAAACCATTTTTTTAAAATGCTCTCGATTGCCCCCAGAAGAGATCTGCTCTTTCCAGATCTGAAGATAGGGTTGCACATAGGCCAGGGTAAGACGGAGAAAGCTAGGCAGGATATGATTGAGTTTTTATGAAGGTAAAGGAGCCCCGGTGGCACAGTGGTTAAAGTGCTCGGTTGCTAACTGAAAGGTCAGGGTTTGAACCCACCAGCTGCTCCGAGGGAGAAAGATGTGGTAGCCTGCTTCCGTAAAGATTTACAGCCTTGGAAACCCTATGGGGCAGTTCGACTCTGTCCTACAGGGTCGCTGTGAGTCGGAATTGGCTCGACAGCTGTGAGTTTGGTTTGGTTCTTTAAGGATCTGTACTAATGAAGGGGTCAGAGGCAGAGATTAGCCCAGACAGGCAAAAACTCAGTCAGTTCTCCTAGACTGTAGGGCCAGCTTTAGTCAACTTGTCATCCCCCAGATATTTGGTTTACAGTAATATTATTGTGAGTTTTCTGGCCTGAAGCACATCCTTACAGATGGCAAAGCTATATTCAGGGGTAGGCTGGGGAGCAGGGACAGAGCCAGCAGGAGACTTTAGAATCCTCACGAGGGTCACCTGGAGTGGCTCCTACCACAGAGGACAGTTATCTGTTTGCATGTCACTTTATTTGTTTAATCAATACCCAGCCTGCTTCTATCAGCCTTGCTGAGCTGGACTCCCTCGTGTACAGGGTGAGACTGTATAAATGGTAAACAAACACTGTTTCGCAAATACCCAGGGTGTGGTCAGGCAACAACTTCACAAGTAGCTTTCAGTGAACAAACAATAAATATCAAAAAATGGGAACAGCCGGGAAGCTGGCATTCCTCCTCCCTTCCACCCTGGCATTTGGCTTTTAGACACGAAAAAGGCAGAGGTTGTGACTAAAGCTGACGAGGGCTCTTAGCAGTTCAGTCAAACCCCAAAGCTAGGAAGGGGGACAGGGAGTGCTCGGCATGGCTGCAAAGGCTCTTCCTAGGACCTTGGCGGCCTGTCAGACAAGCACAAACCCCACTCTGTAAGTGGATGTGTAGCTGTAAGACAGACCAGAGAGCAAGGAGCTGGCATGGAAACCCAGGTGCTCTCCTTTGCCAGTGTCTTGAGCCATGGAGCTCCTAAGAGCAGATTCCAGAAGGAATCTGGGGGCCTCAGCAGGATGGGGAGAGGCGGCAGGATGGAGCAGTGGTTATAGGCTTCAGAATCACTGGCCACACCTGGGTGGAATCTCAGGTCTGCCACTTGATCTTGGCTCAGCTCCATAAACAGACTGGGATACTGCTGGCCACAGCCACACGGGGTGGCTGTGCCAATGAGGAGATGGTAAGGGTGATGCACTTAGCACAGGCCAGCCACAGATGAAGCACTCAAGCGTTAGCTGTTGGGATTTTAGTTATTACTGCCAACATAATGCTAACCCATTTCTTCCTTTGCCCCACAGCAGAAATCAGAGAAAGGACTGCCGGAAAGCACCAAGTACACACTGCCTTGTTTGACCTCTGACCCCCACCCACCAAACAACATCAACAGCTCAGCCATCCTGGCATACTTCCAGGAGATCAGACGGCATATAGATAACAAAGGTGTTACTGATGAAATCATAGGACAGCTGAAGAAACTGAAATCTCAAGACACATGGAAAATAAAGGTTTCTGTGCCCACAGAGTCCTTTGAATGTAAATGCTTCGTCTTGACTATTTTACAACAGTTTTCAAAGTGCATGGACCAAGTCAATGAACCCCAAAGACCAAAAGGCCAGTTACGGCCATCTGGGGAACCTGTTACTTTTGGAATGACAGAAACTTACAGAATCACAAAAAAATGACTGACGGTTAAGTGTGAGAACTCTGCTGTGTTATTAATTATTCCAATGAATCCACAGATGAGCCATTCCTGAGAGGGCTGAGATTTTAAATTATTAATTAACTTGAAAAATGATTTCAAGTGATGTCATTGTTATAATCTTGGTATTTATAGGATGTCTTTCTTCTGCAAACTCAAATCTAACTTATTCCCACTATACCCTTGTAAGGGCGGGGTGTGGCAGCTATGTTAATTTGTTGATATTTACTGTCCTCAGACTTGTTAATGCTCCTTGGGAGAGCCCTCAAGACTAATTTAATAAATTATATTTGACGTTTTCTCATGAATTTTTTTGGATTTTGTGAGGAAGGCTGAAGTTAGTGAATGGAGATCCAGGCTGGGAGGGGTGTGGCTGAGGGAGGGTGGGGCCTCCTATGGAAACAGATATTACTTCTGTCACTGCCGTTTCCCCCCACTGCACAAACTCAATAGCAAATGATAATAATACTAGCAGCAACAGCCATTTATTGAATATTTCCTTTTTGTGTGGTCCTGTAAATACCATTATTATCCCCCTTTTACAGGTATGAAAATTGAAGCCCAAAGATATTCAGTCACTTGCCCAAAGCCACACGGCTATTAAGTGGTGGAACCAGATTCAAGCTAGCTCTTCAACACTCGACCCAACCTTTGTCCCTACTTTCAGTAGATCACACTCTGTGGGCAGTGACTGGGTCTTGCTGCTGTGTGCTGTGGAGTTGGTTCTGAATCATACAGACCCTATAGGACAGAGCAGAACTGCCCCTTAGGGCTTCCCAGACTGTAATTTTTCAGGAGCAAATCGTCAGGTGTTTTCTACCACAGAGCCGCTGGTGTGTTCCAACCAACGACCTTTCAGTTAGCAGCCGAGCGCTTTACCATTGTACCCCAGGGCTCCTTTGACTGGGTCTTAGTGCCTTAATGCCACGCCTGGAACAGAGTAAGCACTCAGGCATCCACTGCATGACTCCTTGGATTCCCAGGGCTTCTGCTTCTGCAAAGGCCTCTTCCATCCTTTCACCGGTGAATTCTTCACAGCCAGGGCCAAACTTTTATCACTGGGCTGCACCTGGAGTCCAAAGCTAAGAGATCATCAGTGGTTCCTGGAGTGTGTTACCTGGACCAGTGTCTTAGCCACCTAGTGCTGCTATAACAGAAATACCACAAGTGGATGGTTTTAGCAAAGAGAAATTTATTCTCTCACAGTCTAGTAGGCTACAAGTCCAAATTCAGAGTGCCAGGGGAAGGCTTTCTTTCTCTGTTGGCTCTGGCGGAAAGTCCTTGTCATCAGTCTTCCCTTGGTCTGGGAGCATATCAGTGCAGGAACCTCAGGTCCAAAGGACCCGCTCTGCTCCTGGTGCTGTTTTCTTGGTGGTATGAGGTCTCCAATTCTCTACTTGCTTCCCTTTCCTTTTACCTCTTGTAAGATAAACGGTGGTGCAGGCCACACCCTAGGGATACTCCCTTTACATTGGATCAGGGATTTGACCTTAGTAAGGGTGTTATACAATCCCAGCCTAATCCTCTTTAACATAAAATTACAATCACAAAATGGAGGACAACCACACAATACTGGGAATCATGGCCCAGACAAATTGATACGCACATTTTTTGGGGGGGACATAATTCAGTCTATGACAACCAACATCACCTAGGAACGTGTTAGAAGTACAAAGTCTTGGGTCCCAACCCCAGACCTACTGAACCAGAGAATCTGGTGGTACAGCCGCAATCTGAGTTTAACAAGCCCTCCAGGTGATTTGGTCACCCTGGTGGCACAGTGGTTAAGAGACTGGCTGCTAACCAAAAGGTCGGCAGTTCAAATCCATCAGCTGCTCCTTGGAAACCGTACGTGGCAGTTCTACTCTGTTCTATAGGGTCTCTACGAGACAACTCAGTGGCAATGGGTTTTTTGGTTTCCAGGTGATTCTGATGCATGAAAAAGCCTGAGACCAGGAATCTAGAGTCGACCAACACCTTTATCTTATCTTTGGGGCAACTGAGGTCCAATAAGACAGCATGTCATTTGCACAAGTTCACATACTGTGTGTGTGTGTGTTTAGGACTTTGAGATATGCGGTTCAGTCTTGGGTTTCTCCTCATTCCTACTCTTTTGGGTATTTCTAGTAGTACCATACCTGACTTTTCTTTTTTTTAGATTCTGACTCATAGTGACCCCATGTGTCAGAGTTAGCACTGTGCTCTATAGGGTTTTCTTTCTTTTTTTGTGCTTTAGGTAAGGTTACAGCACAAATTAGTTTCTCATTCAAGAATTTATACACAAATTGTTTCGTGATGGTGGTTGTCATCCCCGCAATGTGTCAGCACTCTCCCTCTTTCCACCCTAGGTTCCCCGTTCTCGTTCATCCTGTTTTCCTTCATCTGGTTTTCCTGTCCCTTCCTGCCTTCTCGTCTTTGCTTTTGGGCAGGTTTGTCCATTTGGTCTTGTATACTTGATTGATTTAAGAAGCATGTTCCTCACCTGTGTTATTGTTTGTTTTATAGGCCTGCCTAATCTTTGGCTGAAAGGTGGACTTTGGGAGTGGCTTCAGTGCTGAGTTAGCAGGGTGTCCAGGGGCCATAGTCTCAGGGGTTCCTCCAGTCCCTGTCAGACCAAGAAGTCTGGCCTTTTTTGCCACACCCAACTTTGAAGCCCCCAAATACCCTGGTCTCCAATGACAATGTTTTGGTGATCATTCCAAAATCATCCAGTGTGATGGACATTTATCATTCTTTTGACTGTCCTGTATCAGACCACCTCTACTATTGTTAGAGAAATTATCTAAAACTAGGAAATAAAGCAAAAAAGATGACCATCTATCCTCTCAAAGAATGAAGAAAATATCCACAAGTCCACAGTGACATAAACGATTGACAAAAATGGGGGCGAAGGAACAAATCTTCCTTATAGAATTCCAAAGAATAAACGCTGAAGGAGTGAGGGAAAGAGAAAGACCATGATTACAAAGCCACAGGAATCATGGCTACAGGAAAGATGGCAGATGAATGCAAGAATTAGTGAGTGCATCTTTGAGGAGAAACAGGTAATCTGCATAGCCTCAAAGCATCACCCTCAAAATATTTATTAGTCACTGGTTAGCGTCACCATGAGTCAGAATCAACTGGACCGCCAATGGGTTTGGTTTTTTGGATTGGTGGTGGTTTTAACATACATTCCCAAGTCCTTTGATATTCCTCCCTTCAGGTGATGCGGAACTCCCTCCCCGTGAGAGTCAGCTGGACTTGATGACTGGCTTCTAAGGAACAGATGACAGAAAGGGAAAAATAGCAACCTGAGACTGGAGAAATATGGCAGACTCCATCCTACCATGAAATCAAGGTCAATATCACCAGTGCTGAGTGGTGCTGGTGATTCGTACCCCTGAAGTGACGCGATGAGAAGGGAACTTCAGCTCTGTGATGTTCTTCCTCAAACCCATAACCCCAGTCTAATCACAAGAAAACATCAGACAAACCCAAACTGGGGAACATTCTACAAAATTCCTGACCAGTACTCTTCAAAAGTGTCAAGATCATGAAAAGCAAGATGGAGAAACTGTCACAGATTGGAGACTAAGGAAACAGGACAACTGGATTAAATCCTAGAAGAGAAAAAAGATACTAGGGAAAAAACTGGAAAATCTAAATTAAGCCTAATCCCATTACCCGTTGCCATCAAGTCGATTCCAACTCATAGCGACCCTATAGGACAGAGCAGAACTGCCCCATAGAGTTTTCAAGGAGCAATTGGTGGATTCAAACTGCTGACATTTTGGTTAGCAGCCAATCTCTTAACCACTTCGCCACCAGGGGTCCAAATTAAGCCTGGAGTTTAGTTAATACTATCTTACCAATGTTAACTTCTCAGTTTTGATAAATGTACCGCGATTATGTAAGATGTTCACATTAGGGAAAGCATGGGGAAGGGTATATGGGAACTATCTTTACAACTTTTCTATAAACCTAAAATTATTTCAAACTAAAAAATTTTTTTATACTAGCCACATTTCAAGGGCTCAAAAGCCACATGTGGCTAGTGGCTCCCATACTGGACATATATCGAACATTTTCATCATTGCAGAAAGTTCTATCAGACAGCACAGCTCTAGGGAAATGTAACCTTGTCTGATATATTATTTATTATTGGTTCAATCCCAGAGTCTGTGGACTTGCAGAAAACTGATAAGATGAAAACTATGTCTATTGAGTAGAGAAGATAACCCCAAAGGCTACGGTTTTATTGACTGTAAGACATTAACCAGTCAAGCATCTAATTTAGCCATTTTATTCCAGCATTTGTTTTCTCCACTGAAGATGGATAGATGAACAGGTATAGGCAGGTATTAGTTTCTCATATTCTCCTTTGAATCCTTTGAATCAGTTGTGTTGTTGGGCTGATTTCCTCATTAATGAAATAAACAAAACCTGTGTATTTGCACAAGGAGACTTATGTTTGGTGGGCAGCAGAGCCTGCTTCCTGCTACAGAGGCTGAAATGCGAGTGATTTGCTTCCCCCGTGGCTCGTGGCTCGGGTGTGGGCCTGTGCTGCAGCTCCACAAGAAGATTTGAATCGGGGGCTAGTGACATGAAGCAGCGGGGATGGTGGAGAATCTGTCACTGCTGGCTGGGGGATTCCGCCGCTGCCTTGTGACTAAAACCACCTCCTTGCTTTCGCAGGGAGGGGCTTTTTGGAGGTTTTGATTTCTCTGCTCCTCCTTCCAGCTCCTCCACCTACAGCTTCCCTGACGTAGAGGCAAACCTAATAACCAAACCCCCCTTCCTTCCTTTACACGAAAGATACCAAACTTCAGCTGGGGGTGCATGGTTGGCTCTGCGGGCCTGAGTGGTAAGCCGTGCCAGGCTCCGTGCTCAGAAGGGCCCTCACTTGGTTTACGGCTCTGCCATCTCCGTCTTGAAATTCTTTTTGTTTATATTGTTGTTGCTGTTGTCGAGAATATACACAGCAAAACATACATCAATTCA